AATGCATGACTGTGGTAATCAAATCAGATGATGCCTATCAAAGCATCCGAGTCATGATGTGCACATATAATCCATTATCATATTTGTAAGACGTTCTTATCACCGAAAAAGACTAAGAAATCTTGTTTTTGCCTAAAAAGAGCCATTCCCCCAAATTAAAAGAGAACCCTGTCACAGAAGAAGTGAATGCACTGAAGAGAGGGTCAGGCCAGGGGTGGTGGCTCATGCCTACAATCCCAGCACTTTGGGAGGCCAAGGCAGGAGGATCACTCTCCAGGAGTTTGAGACCATCCCAGTGTTAGGTACAGTGAACCTCAACTTTCTCTTCAAAGAATCCGTGTGTCAGTATGTTCAGCTCTCTCTCTCTTTCATTCTCCATTTTGAAGTTTAACTTGTAGTTTCAGTAAAAAAACCTTTTTCACCAGTTCTAATCAGTAGTTCACATCTGTTCCTCCATCCCCTGCTCCATCCTGACTCATTCCGGTCACCTGCTCGAGTCATCTGCTTTGACCCCTGGTTACTGCTCTCACCTATCCATAACTGTCCTTCCCACCAAAATACATACTCCACCACTCTGTCTCATTTCACCGCTCCCTTTAAAATAGCCAGTTGGAATTAGTCTAGAATGTGCTGTCTAACCCCAGCCAACAGGGGAACAACACAGCAGGAGGGGTGAACTCCATCAGGAATAAGAACCCCTTTCCCCTCCCTTGTCCAGGTATGCACCCACCATTGTTACATCTGTGAGCCGCTACTTCATCTGTGAGTGCTACTTCTTTTGTGGCACTGAAAATTTTACATCTAACACTAGACAACATAGCAAGACCCTGTCTCTACAAAACTTTAAAAGCCAGGCATGGTAGCATGCACCAATAGTCTCAGATACTTAGGAGAATCACTTGAGCCTAGGAGGTGAATGCTGTGATCATACCACTGGAGTCTTTAAAAAAAAAAAAAAAAAAAGCGGGGGGGGTTGGGGTAGTCCGTAACTCAGCATTGGAGATAATGAACAGAAATAACATTAGAAAGTCCATTTGTCCCATAAAGCAGAAAAAAAGGGCCACAGACCAGAAAACGCTATAAAGGAGAAGACCCAAAAAGACGATAACAAATATGAAGGACAAGAAAGAGTGAATCATGAAACTGATGCTTTTCCTAGTAATTAAAACAGAATTAACAAGGACATGGCTTATGAAACTTGGAGCTGAAAATACTCCTCATTTTACAGATCAGAAAGGATAAACAAAACTGGTGAAAGGAGTTATCTAGCTTGGCAAAGTTCTTGTATCATGAGGTTCAACAATTCTGCATATATTCAGGATAAGAAAATGTTAACAGGCCAGTTGTTTTTTTTCTTTAAATCCAGAATAGAGCAAAGTTTAAAGGACTGAGCCATGACCTGACAATTTTATGCCAAACCAAGCTACTGTTCTCATGTTTAAACATGAGAAAAGACATCATAAGAGAAGACAATAAAGAAAAAAGTGACCATCAGATGACTCAGCCATCTATATTAAAATGTAATGTAAAGCTTGGATAGATAGAGCAGCATGATATAAGTAAATCTCTGATCAATGGGAACTGAATTAATACCCTTAAAATGGCCCCAAGTTATAATTTTTTTAAAATAACAAGACAAAGATGCATGCTATCATTACTGCTTATTTTTCTTGAGACAAAGTCTCCTGTTGCCCAGGCTGGAGTGGAGTGGCACAATCATGGCTCACTGCTGCCTCAACCTCCCCAAGCTCAGATTCCCCTCCCTCGACCTCCCTAGGCTGGAAGAATCCTCCTACTTCAGCCTCTTGAGTAGCTGGGACTACAAGGCACATGCCACACACCTGGCTAATTTTTTTTTTTTTTGTAGTTTTTGCAGAGACAGTGTTTTGCCATGTTGCCCAGGCTGGTCTCGAACCCCTAGGCTCAAGCCATCCTCTCCCGTAAAGTGCTGGGATTACAAGCCTGAGTCACTGCAGCCTGCCCATTGCTACTTTTCAAAATTGCACTGGAGGTGGTAGCTTATGTAATAAGAATTTTAAGAAGCAGGGAGATACAAAATTGTAGTTATTTACAGATGATATAATTGTTCCAGCTAGAAAATGCTCAGGAAACAAACTGACAAACGTTTATGTTTACGTTGAGCAGAGTAGCCCCACTATATCAACATAGAAACGAACAAGCAAGTCAAAGATATAACAGGAAGCTTTTTTCAAAACAGTCACAAAGCTAAGCCTTATTTTAAACGATCTATATATAGAAAGCTGTAAATCTTTACTGAATGACAGGAGACTTACATAGATGGAGATATATCATCCTTGTGAAAGAAAAAGACTCAATTACGTCAGTCCATTCTTCCCAAATCTTATGAAATTAATACATCACAACCCTAGTCCCATGTTAATTCTTTATAGAATTTGAAAAACTTACTCTGAAACGCAGAAGAAGAGCTAGGACAATTTTGGGAAGGAAAAAGATAGGGAAACTTTTGCCACTAGATACCAAAAACACATCACAAAGCTATATGAAACCAGGGCAAGAATATACAAAGCAATGAAAGAATGCAAACCTGGGTACAGACACAGAGGTTTAGCCTATGTTAAAGGGCGTGTTTAACATATGTTAACTGTTATGTATGTTATTAAATGTTAAATGAGCAGAGAAAGACTCTTCAATAGTCTTGAGACAATGGCCCATGCATCCAGAAAAATCAGTATGTCAGAACACTAGGCCATCACACACCAAAGTAACTTTTAGCGAAACCTCGAACTATCTAAATATAAGGAAATACAGGCAAATATTTACAACTTTGTGCCGTTACAGACTTTTACAAATAAGTTTGTTAAAGTGGCACTGTCCGTGCCATTGGACATACTCCTACTTAAGCCTCTTGAGTAGCTGGGACTACAAGACACATGCCACCACACCTAGCTATTTTTTTTTGGAAGGGAAGAAGGGACCCAAGACCCCAGAAGCATGCCAACATATAATCCCAAGTCCAAGGTCAGCCGGTGCGCGGGATCTCTCAAGTTACCCGTCTGGCCTCCTTCCAGATGTACTTTACTTCTTTTCATTCCTTCTCTAAAACTTTTTAATAAACTTTCACTCCTGCTCTAAAACTTGCCTCGGTCTGTCTCTTCTTCTGCCATATGCCCCTGGGTCAAATTCTTTCTTCTGGCTAGGCATGGTGTCTCATGCCTATAATCCCAGCACTTTGGGAGGCTGAGGTGGGTAGATCACTTCAGGCCAGGAGTTTTGAGACCAGCCTGGCCAACCTGGTGAAACCCTGTCTCTACTAATAATACAAAAATTGGCCGGGCATGGTGGCATGCATCTCTAGTCCCAGCTGCTGAGGGGACTAAGGCAGCAGAATCGTTTGAGCCTGGGAGGTGGAGGTTGCAGTGAGTCAAGATCACACTACTGCACTCCAGCCTGGGCATCAGGCTCAACTCTTTTTTTTGACTCCAACTCAAAAAAAAAAAAACAAAGAACCTTTCTTCTGTAGACGTTTACGGATTTGCCAATGGTAACAGAGTAGTCTGTCTTGATTTTTAAGATTGTTTTCAAGACTAAAGGCTGAACAAACAGTAATTTAAAATCCATTTAAAAACAGAAGCTGTTTTGCCCCCCAAATTTCCCATTAGTTGGATACCCGCTTCATATCACTTTCTAAAAGCCCAGATGAAATAATTAGCCAAGTGGTAGAAATGAAAGCATAAAAAGATTCCTGAACGTAGAGAAAATATTTTGTGTATACAGCCACAAAAACCTTAGCTTCTTTATATCAAATGATAAAATTAAAAAATCAAAAGGCAGACAAATCTGAAAGAGCAATAAATGCATATGCAATATAGAAAGATCTTCCACACAGCAAGGTAGAAAAGACCCACAATTCTATATTAATAGGCACACAATTTCTAGAATTAAACCAGCAGACCCAAGAACATGTCTGACCTCAGGTGGCAGGGGGAGAAATTTAAACAAATGTGAGATCATTTATTTTTGGCCACCATACTGGTCCAAAATGAAAATAAGATACTTAACGTTGACAAAGACAAAGTAGGATGAACCATTCCAAGCAGTACTGTCCAAAGGAAAAAGATACAAGCCATATACTTAAGATTACTAAAATCCTCTTTAAAAAGAAACAAGTGTAATTTTAATACTGTATCTATTTAACACAGTAAATCAAGAGTATTATTGTAAGTCACTACAAACATTTACAAGCTATTCATTTTTTTAAAAAAGAAGTCCTAATTCTCTGAAATTTGGTATGTATCTTAGGCTCACTGTATCTCAATCCAGATGCAATTTTTTTTTTTTTACTACAAATGTAAATTTCATAAAATTTTCCATTGCAAAGATAACATTCACATACTCAAGTTGTTTCAAACATATTAAGTTTCCCAATAACAGAAAGAGTAACAGCTCTTCCAACTTAAACAAGAGTGGTTAAAATTAATACAATTCCAGCCTCAGTTCCTTGGTCACACCAGCCACGTTTTTTTTTCTTGACAATGGGTCTCACCCTGTCACCCAGGTTGGAGTGTGGTGGTGTGATCACAGCTCACTGTAGCCCCCATCTCTTGGGCTTCAGCGATCCTCCCACCTCGGCATCCTGGAGTAGCTGGGACCATAGGCACTTGGTCCCGGCTACTACACATGCTTGGCCAATTTTTGTATTTTTGGTAGAGAGACAGGGTTTCACCATGTTGCCCAGACTGGTCTGCAACTCCTTAGTTCAAATGATCCTCCCACCTCAGCCTCCCAAAGTGCTGGGATTACAGGCTTGAGCCACCACACTCCACCCAACCTTGGCCACTCTTCAAATGCACCAAAGCCACCTGTGGCTGGTGGCTGCCACAGTGAAGTTTCCAGTTCTATAACATGTACACCTGCCCAACCAGGTCCCGCTGCAGATGGAGGCAGCTCTTTCTGGAATCTCCCAAGCCCTGACACCACGGCGCTCCCTGATCAATATTCACCAGGGTTTCCAGACTTACCTGCCTGGCCTCATCCACAGGTGCCTTCCAGTCCTCCTCTGATTGATCATCCCCTCGATCTTCCCTGTTCTTGCTGTGACTTTCGCCATGAGGTGCACAGCCCAGTTCTTAGTCAACTGCCACCTCTTGAGTTCTCACACTGTAAATTGTAATAACAACGGGAATAAGAATGATAACTAAAAGCAACAGACTCCTTTTATCAAGTAGACTGTGTGCTAAACGCTTTGCATTTTATCAATCATCTGTACCCCTTCCACTTACATGCAGGAAACAAGCTTAGAAAAGGACATGTTAGGACCTTAGCATTAGTATGCAAAGAGCCATTTGTCCTTGGAACCAGAGCTAACTGACCCCAGGCCCCATGCTCTCTCCCCTTCCCCATGGTTCTGGCCTGATGGTGTGTGCAAGCTCCCTCTCTCAGTCACCAACATGGTGCACAGAGCTCCTTGAGGACTGGGGTCATTGGGACCCCACCTGGGACATTGCATCTTCTCAGACATTCGGCCAAGATGTCATAAGGGATAAGAAGAAAAGCCCCACACGGGAACTTACCCATATCTATGTAAACAGCTACTGTGCTAGGTACCTTACATAGATGCTCACTTAATTCTCACAGCTACTTGTGAGGTCTGAACTGTAATCACCGTTTTACAGAGAACAAGTGAGTCACTCAAAGGCAGACAGCTTAGGAAGCTGTGGGGCTGGGATTTGGTGAAAGACTCTGTTCCCTCCCCGGGAGGGTGGTGATGCAGGGGGAAGCCCACCAGGCAGTGTTTACCCCATGCCTCATCTCTTCCTCTGAGATGATCATGGTACTTGTCTCAAGGGTCCATGGCCCTACCAGAGTATAATCCACAATGTGTTGAGTCTTTTTTTTTTTGAGATGGAGTCTCACTCGTGGCCCAGGCTGCAGTGCAGTGACATGATCTCAGCTCCCCGCAACCTCTGCCTCCCGGGTTCAAGCCATCTCCTGCCTCAGCCTTCCACACAGCTGGGATTACAGGCACCCACCACCATGCCTGGATAGTTTTTATATTTTTAGTAGAGATAGGGTTTCACCACATTGACCAGGCTGGTCTCAAACTCGTGGCCTCAGGTGATCTGCCCACCTTGGCCTCCCCAAGTGCTGGGATGAGAGGCATGAGCCACCATGCCCGGCCAAGAGTCCTTTCATTACCATGCACTTGACTCATGACAAGCCATTCCAGAGGCCACTGTGTTGGGATCATTGGGCCCCCACCTTGCTCCAGAAGCGCACGAAGCATTTGCCTGTATTCCCACATGCAAGTCTCTTCCAAGCCTATGGCTGAAGTGCTGACATTTGCATTTCACAGATTAAAACAAAAACCAAGGTAACCATGGCATGTCATAAACTGCAAAGCAAGTCAACAGCAGAGTTGGGGGAACTACACCACACCCTGCACTTAGAGTTCACTTTGAACACTTTCTCCTTTATTCTTATAGGCAAATACCATTTATAAGACACCTCCTGTGTACTCAGGCAACTGGGATACAGAAATGAGTAAGACAGATGTGAACCTGTCAGAAAAAGGAAAACCTGAACGATTTCTTAAAAAGCAGCCCAAGAAGGCTGTAGGCTGGACATATGGATAATAGGAACTAAGCCTATGAATGAAACTTGAGCCCTTGCCAGTCAGGCTGGCATTCATCAGATATTTCACGGCGGTGCAATGACCACAACCTTGCCTATCGGATGAAGGGCAAAGGCAGGAGAGACTCAGTTATCCCTCTGCAGACCCTGAGAGGCCTTCATACCTGTAACTTTAGTTTTGAGACTGAGTCCTGTTCTGTCACCCAGGCTGGAGTGCAATGGCACCATCTTGGCTCACTGTAATCTCCACCTCCCAGGTTCAACTGATTCTCCTGCCTTAGTCTTCCCAGTAGCTGGGATTACGGGCACATGGCACCACACCTGGCTAATTTTTGTTTTCTTTTTAGTAGAGATGGGTTTCACCATGTTGGCCAGGCTGGTCCTGAACTCCTGACCTCAGGTAATCTGCCCATCTTGACCTCCCAAAATGGTGGGATTACATGTGTGAGCCATCACGCCCAACCAAGTTTTTTCTTTTTTTTTTTTTTTTTTTGAGACAGAGTTTCGCTGTTGTTACCCAGGCTGGAGTGCACTGGCGCGATCTCGGCTCACCGCAACCTCCGCCTCCTGGGTTCAGGCAATTCTCCTGCCTCAGCCTCCTGAGCAGCTGGGATTACAGGCATGCGCCAACATGCCCAGCTGATTTTTTGTATTTTTAGTAGAGACGGGGTTTCACCATGTTGACCAGGATGGTCTCGATCTCTTGACCTCGTGATCCACCCGCCTCGGCCTCCCAAAGTGCTGAGATTACAGGCGTGAGCCACCGCGCCCGGCCCAACCAAGTTTTTATCCAATATACTATGAAAGGAAAAGAAATCATTAAGCTAAAGGGAAAAGTCAAGCCAGGAACTGCTTAGGGCCAACCTGCCTCCCATTCTATTCAAAGTCATGCCTCTGCTCACTGAGAAAAATGCTTTTCTGATTGCCTTCTTTGGAGAGGCTAATCAGCAACTCAAAAGAATGTGGCTGGGTAGTACAGTGGCTCATGCCTGTCATCAAAGCACTTTGGGAGGCTGAGCTGGGTGGACCACCTGAGGTCAGAAGTTCGAAACCAACCTGGCCAACATGGTGAAACCCCATCTCTACCAAAAATGCAAAAATTATCGAGGTTTGGCAGCAGGTGCCTGTAATCTCAGCTACTTGGGAGGCTGAGGCAGGAGAATTGCTTAAAATCAGGAGGTGGAAGTTGCAATGAGCCGAGATTATACCACTGCACTCCAGACTGGGCGACACAGCAAGACTCCATCTCAAAAACAGAAAACAGAATGCAACCATTTGTCGCTTATCTATGTAAGACCTGGAAGCCCCCCCCTCACGTCAAGCCATCACACCTTTTCCAGTCAGAATTATAAGAATGTCACTTTTGCTTCTCTGCCCACTCCAGGCTTCTTGGTTTGCACTAAATCCATGTTTCTGGGCTATCATCCTCAAAGCTGGCTCAGAAAACAGCCCACTTTGGCTTCTATCTGTAGTGCCTGTTATTTCAACCTTTTCCTTGACAATTCTGCCTCCCAGGAGGTAAATCCCTAGTGGATGGCTGTCAGAAACGCTGACTCATCACCACGCTTGCAGGTGCTGCCTCCCTCACTTGCCACTTCCCAGGCCCCCTGCAGTCAGCCGGGACCATGTGATCAGTCCAAAACGGCAGTGACAGGTGTCAACTCCAGGTTGAAGCACTTCCAAGTTGGGGTATGACTCTCAGCTTCCTCCCTGGAAACCACAGGCTGAGTGGGTGGAATCACAGGGTAGAGCCCGCCTGGATCCAGAGTCACCACATAGAGGGCAGTGTACTCAGTGGATTGACAGAGTCAAGAGGGGGCTTGGGTGGGTCAGCCACTGGGATGTTGCCATCTGTGACTGCAGCATAGCCTAATATCTTCGGATTAGACCAGTGAGACATAAGCTCAACAGATACTGTACAAAGACATTTTTCTTTTTTTTTTTTTTTTTGGAGACAGGCCTCACTCTGTGGCCCAGGCTGGAGTACAGTGGTACAATCATATCTCCATGCAGACTGGACCTCCCAGGCTCAAGCCATCCTCCCATCTCAGCCTCCCATAGAGTGCCGCTACCGCCACGTCTGGCGAATGTTTACTTCTTGTAGAGACAGGTCCCACTATGTTGCCCAGGCTGGTCTCACACTTTTGGGCTCAACTGATTCTCCTGCCTTGAACTTCCAAGGTATTGGGATTACAGGCACGAGCCAACGCACCTGGCTGAGAAATCTTTAAAGAAAAAAAAAAAAAGCACACATTGAGGCCAGGTGTGGTGACTCGTGCCTGTAATCCCAGCACTTTGGGGGACTGAGGAGGGTGGATCATGAGGTCAGAAGATCCAGGTCAACTGACCAACATGATGAAACCCAGCCTCTACTAAAACTACAAAAATTAGCCGGGCATGGTGGCAGATGCCTGTAGTCCCAGCTGCCCAGGAGGCTGAGGCAGGAGGATAGCTATAGCTTGAATCCCAGAGGGGGAGGTTACAGTGAGCCTAGATCACACCACTGCACTCCAGCCTTGGCAACAGAAAAAGACTCCGTTTCAAAAAAAAAAAAAAAAAAGGCACACAATGAGCGATTTTAACAGAATGCTGATTGATTTGGTCTTTTGGGGAAGGTGAATGTTGCAAAGAGCCTAGATCTGGCAGGTAATGGTGGCAGGTTAACATCTGTCAAACACTGCACCATGTGCCGGGCACCGGGCAAAATGCTTACAAACATCTGAGCAAAGGCCACTCAGAAGAAAGCCTACAGCTTGGCGACTAGGAGGTGGGCCAGTGAAGCTCTCTCTCCATTTAGCCATTGGGCACGGAGGATCCCTTTGCCCTGCTTCAAGGGGCAAAGCAAAGATGGCAAGAACATCCCAGCACGGACATTCAGAGGGAACTACCATAATTTACGTCCTCAGGCCTCAGGAGTATCTGTCCTGGCCGGCTTCGTGGCTCATGCCTATAATCCAGCACTTTGGGAGGCCCAAGCAGGTGAACCGCTTGAGCTCAGAAGTTTGAGACCAGCCTGGGCAACATGGAGAAACCTCATCTCTACCAAAAAATACAAAAATGAGCTGGGTGTAGTGGTGCATGCCTGCAGGCCCAGGTACTTGGTAGTGGAGGCTACGGGGGAGTGGGTAGAGGTGGGAGGATTGCTGGAGCCTGGGAGGTGGAGGCTGCAGTGAGCCGAGATGGCGCCACTGCACTCCAGTGTGTATGACACAGCGAGACTGTCTCAAAAACAAAAACAAAAACAAAAAACCAGAGAGGATCTTTCTAGGGTCAGCGCTTTCAGCCAGGATTGATTGTGTCCCCAGGGGACACCTGCCAATGTCTGGAGACACTTTCATTGTCACAACTCAGGGGCTGCTACCAGGCTCTAGTGTGTAGGAGCCAGGGATGTGGCTGATGTCCAAGGCATACCCCCCCTGCCCCCAATACACCTGCTGCTGAACAGGGGTCCCATTCTCTCTACTTCCAGTGAAGCTTCTGATGCCAGGACCTGCCCCTCTCCCAAACGGGCTTCTATGTCACGACCGCCTGGGAGGAGTAGGTGCTTTCCTAGTCTCGATGCAAGGAGCAGTGTGGGCCTGCTCGAGGGAAGCTGGCACAAGTATAGAGCCTGCCAAAACCAGGACTTAGACCCTTCCGTCTCCAGGGATGAATGATGACCCAGGAAGTGGTGGGGGCTCCCCTGATGCAGCAGCCTCTGGAGCTGCCTACAGAGGGGAAGAGAAAAAGGGTTGTTGCTCTGCTTTCTGCAAGCCCACGCTGTCTCTAAGAACAGTGCCCCAAATGTGTAGCTCCTACGTTAAAAAAGGTTTCTTGCAGGACAGGCACGGTGGCTCACATCCGTAATCCCAGCCCTTTGGGAGGCTGAGGCGGGTGGATCACCTGAGGTCAGGAGTTTGGGACTAGCCTGGCCAACACGGTGAAACCCCATCTCCACTAAATATACGAAAACTACTTGGGCATGGTGGTGGGCACCTGTAATCCCAGCTTCTCAGAAGGCTCAGGCAGGAGAATCACTTGAGCTCAGGAGGCGGAGGGTGCAGTGAGCAGATATTGAGATTGCACCATCGCACTGCAGCCTGACAGAGTATGACGCTGTCTCAAAAAAACTAACAAAAAAAGCCACCTTCTGGCCTTTGCCGCTGTCTTTTGTCTGTCCCTGTCGTGCTCACTGTGACCAAGGCTATCCAGCCTCGCTCTGGCCTTTGTCCCCCGAGACTTTCTGCCTCTGCCTCTTCCTGCCACACCAAGCTTTTGTCAAGCAACCCCCTCGCTCCTTCTCCTTCCTGAACTTCAACAGCCAACTGAGTCCCCTGATTGACTAACAGCTTAGGGGCCTGCTCCAGGGTTGGGTCACCAGAGAGACGGACATGGCTTGTCTGAGGACTGTGGAGAGGGAGAAAGGGACTACTCACCTCTCCGACTTCCAGGAACGTCTTCCTGAGGCTGCCGGGAACGCAGACAGGTGCAGCTGGGCCTGAACCTGGAAGATTAATGAGGCCAGTTAACATGACCCACACCTGCCCCAGCTTTGTGCAAGCCCGAGGCAAACTCGGGCCCCAGGGTGGAGCCTCGATCTCCACCACCTGTGTTGGCTTCGCCAGGGTGCTTGAGAAACACCTCCTGGCCCCACCCCAAAGCCAGTACTGCTGCTGGTGGGGCCTGAGAATCAGCATTTTCGCAAGCATCGACTACCATCTCCTCCCACCCTGACCCCCACAGAGGACTCCTCCTCCTGGATCTCGGTCTCCATGTGTCTATTTCCAGGCTCTTTGTTACCAGAAGATTGGAGAGGTCTCAGTTTTGATGGGTTTTCTTCTTTGTGTTTTATCGCATTGTCTTAACAAGCAAGGGAGAGACTCAGTTCTCACCCTCAACCACGAGCCAGAAACTTTGCGTACAGGGAAACAATCATCTATTATCATACATCAGCCCAGCGGGTCCCCTCTGTATTCAAGCCTTGCATGCCCATTACAGGGAATCTGAAAACTACAGCCAATTATAAAAATAAAAATTATACCATCCTGGTGTGGTGGTTCACGGGTAATCCCAACGTTTTCGAGGCTGAGGTGGGAGGATCGCTTGAGGCCAGGAGTTTGAGACCAGCCTGGGCAACATGGCGAAACCCCATCACTACAAAAAAATAAAAAAATTAGCCAGGTGTGGTGGCATGCATCTGCAATCTCAGCTGCTCTGGAGGCTGGGACTGGAGGATCACTTGAGCCCAGGACTTCAAGGATGTAGTGAGCTATGACTGCACCACTGCACTCCAGCCTGACTGACAGAGAAAATCTCTGTCTCAAGAAATAATAAAGTAAAATAAAAATTAAAATCACTCATAATCCTACTAGTCACAGACACCAACATTCATTAACATGTTCCTATTTTTTTCATCCAGTTTCTGTTTCCCATGCATATACTTTAGCATATTGAGGAGCTTAACGAATACAGCATTTTTTCCCTTTTTTTTAAAAAGAGATCCATTAAGGTATAATTGACATAAAAGGTGTAATTGACATAATTAAATAGCATCTGTTTCATGTGTGTAATATATTTTCATACTTGTATACACTCATGACAATCAAGATAGTGAACACGGCCAGGCGCAGTGGCTCACACCTGTAATCCCAGCACTTTGGGAGGCCGAGATCAGCCTGGCCAACATGGTGAAACCCTATATCTACTAAAAATACAAAAATTAGCTGGGCGTGGTGGCAGGCGCCTATAATCCCCGCTGCTTCGGAAGCTGAGGTAGGAGAATCACTTGAACCTGGGAGGCGGAGGTTGTTGTGAGGCTGAGACCGCACCACTGCACTCCAGCCTGGGAGACAGAGCGAGACTTCATCTGAAAAAGAAAAAAAAAAAAATTTCTAACACTTCCAGGTTAAGTTTTTAATGGCATTTTTATTTAGGAATAATCCAAGTTTACAGAAAAGTTGCAAAGACAGTAGAGACCATTCTCCTTTGTCTCTCACTCAGTCCTCCCAATATGAATATCTTACATGCCTATGATACATTCATTAAATAAAACCCGAGAAATTAATATCGGCACATTACTATTAACTGAACTGTGGGCTGTACTTGAATTTCATCAGCTTTTCCACTGATGTCCTTTCTCTGTTCCACCATCCAATCCAGCATCTCACATTGCATTTCGCCAAATATTACATTACTTAGCATATTACTAAGCATTATGTGGTGGAGATCTCTTCAAAAACATTGTTTTACAGGTTGCTTCATATTTCTTGATGTTCCTTTACTGTATTGCTTAACTTAGGTTATTTCTAAGTTTTGCTCTTATAAGTACTGTTGCAATTAAAATCTTTGCATCTAACTCTTTCTTCACATTTCTTCCTGTTGCCTTGAGATATCCCCCTTGAAATAAAGCCAGGACGTCAAAGGTCCTTTGATACACGCTTGCTTTTAGGCTTCTCAAGAATGCAGTAACACTTTGCAACCATCCTAAGGATACTTTTTTTCCAGTGGAGATTCATTCATGGAAGCAAAAATTAAAGGATGGAAGTTTAGTGAGAAACAGGATATTTACATGATCTCAAAACATCTCCCTGTATATTACTTGTCAATTACCAAGAAAAGACTACTAACTTGAGCAGCAAAGCGGAGGAAACCGGAGTGAACCGAGAGCTTAGTGACCAACCTGAGCCTCCTCTACAAGCCCAAGAGTGAGATGACCCCGGAGGAGCTGCAGAAGCGAGAGGAGGAGGAATTTAACACGGGTCCACTCTCTGTGCTCACTCAGTTCGTCAAAAACAACACCCAAGTGCTTATCAACTGCCGCAACAATAAGAAACTCCTGGGCCGCGTGAAGGCCTTTGATAGGCACTGCAACATGGTGCTGGAGAACATGAAGGAGATGTGGACTGAGGTACCCAAGAGTGGCAAGGGCAAGAAGAAGTCCAAGCCAGTCAACAAAGACCGCTACATCTCCAAGATGTTCCTGGGCGGGGACTCAGTCATTGTGGTCCTGCGGAACCCGCTCATCGCCGGCAAGTAGGCGCCACCTATCCCTGTCAGTCAACAGAACTCACTCCCCTGTCCTACAGAGACCGCTGCCGCTGGTGTTGACAATAAAGCTCTGTGTTTTTTTTCTAAAAAAAAAAAAAAGAAGAAAAGACTACTAACTTTACATTGGAGAAAACTGGCAGGACTGTTAATTGAGTAATCAACGTGAACGAGTCAGAACAGGGCAAACCGACATCCTAGGCTTCACCTGGCATGCGAAGGAAAACACAAAATTAGCCTGTTATCATCGTGCCAAAGATGCAAAACCTGAATTGAATAACGAGAACACACCAGGCAAAGAGCATCGAGGGACGAATATCTAGTAAGTGGTTTGTACTCTTCAAAAAAAAAAAAAAAAAATTACAGGCTTATGCCTATAATCCCAGCACTTTGGGAGGCTGAGGTGGATGGATCACAAGGTCAAGAGATCGAAGCTGTCCTGGCCAGCATGGTGAAACCCCATCTCTGCTAGACATACAAAAATTAGCTGGGCATGGTGGCTCGTGCCTGTAGTCCCAGCTACCCTGGAGGCTGAGGCAGGAGAATCGCTTGAACCTGGGAGGCAGAGGTTGCAGCGAGCGGAAGATCAAGCCACAGCACTCCAGCCTGATGACAGAGTGAGACTCCCTCTCAAAAAAAAAAAAAAGTCAATGTCATGAAAGGCTGAGGAACACTCTAGGTGAAATGAGATTAAAGGGACATGACCACTAAATGTGATGGATAATCTTGGACAGAATCCCGAACCAGAACAATTCTTAAAATTTTATTATGAGATACACTCTGGGGGAAATTGATCTGAAGATTAGATCACGGTGCCATGTCAAGGTCAATTCTATTTTTTTTTTTAAAGAGATTCTCAGTCTCACCCAGTCTGGGCATGGTGGCTCATGCCTGTAATCTCAGCACTCTGGGAGGCCAAGGTGGGTGGATCACTTGAGATCAGGAGTTCAAGACCAGCCTGGCCAACATGGTGAAACCCTGTCTCTACTAAAAAATACAAACACTAGCATGGCATGGTGGCACATGCCAGTAATCCCAGCTACTCGGGAGTGCACAGCAACCTCCACCTCCTGGGCTTAAGCCATCCTCCCACCTCAGCCTCCTGAGTAACTGGAACTACAGCTGCATGCTACCATGCCCAGCTAATTTTTCTATTTTTGGTAGAGATGGAGTCTCCCAATGTTGCCCAGGCTGGTCTAAAACTCCTGACCTCAAGTGATTCTCCCGCTTTGGCCTCCCAAAGGGCTAGGATTACAGGGGTGAGCTACAGCGCCTGGCCAAAAAAGTCTTATCTCAGCAAAGTGATGGGGAGATGCTTCCATGAAGTCTCGAGGCCTCCGACTTACAGAAAAACTGCAATATTAGAACAAAGAACTTCCCTATACCTCTCACCCAGAGACCTTATTCAAGTGTTGATAATTGTCCCAGTGATGCTCGTTACAGCAAAGGGACACAGTTCAGGATCACATGCTGTCATCAATCTTCATGACTCTCTCCTCTCCAATCTGAACTGAATTAGAAAGGATGGGCTGGGCACCATGGCTCACGCCTGTAATCCCAGCCCTTTGGAAGGTCAAGGCGGGCAGATCACCTGAGGTCAGGAGTTTGAGACCAGCCTGGCCAACATGGTGAAACCCCATCTCTATTAAAAGTACAAAACTTAGCTGGGCATAGTGGCACACGCCTGTGGTCCCAGCTACTCGGGACACCGAGACAGGAAAATCGGTTGAACCCAACAGGGGGAGGTTCCAGTGAGCTGAGATGATGCCCCTGCACATCAGCCTGGGTGACAGAGTGAAACTCCATCTCACGCACACACAAAAAGAAAGAAAGAAAGAAAGGTTGGGAGAGAGGGAAGAGGGAAGAAAGGAGAAGAAAAAATAGGAAAGGAGGGAGGGAGGGAGCCTCTAGACTTTTAGAACATTCTTTTATTTTCTAAACATCATTTCTCAGTAGGAAAGTTTGGAAAACCATAGCAAAACACAGAGGAAAAAATGCATTGCAGACTCACCAAACCCGGAGACAAGCACTGTTTACTCTTGGTTAGATACCTTATTTTTTGTTCTTTGATCACATTTGAGATTACAGTGAATACATAACATTTTGTGGGTGCATAGCCTCTCACGGCAAGCTTGCTAAAACTATTGGCTTTTGCTCTTGCTCTATCTATTCCTAGCCTACTGAACAGAATCCCCAGGTTTGGGGGTCTCGGCATCTGTATTTTCCACTAGTTCCCAGGGATTCCAATGTGCCCAGCCAAGATTAAGAACCACTCTTTGCATTTTGCCTTTGTTATTTAACATTATTTCATAAACATTTCCCTTCACCATTGGATTTCAATCACTCATGTGAGCATGCATTATTTTATATTTTTATATTATGTATACTATTTTATATATTATGCAAATGATTTTTTAAAAGATCTTTTACCAGCTAGACTCATAATTCTGGTTTATAATTTGTGTGAGAGGATTTCCCTAGAGTTGGGCAGTTGGCTGGAGTGAGGGGAACACTTGTGGAATTTCCATGAGACAAGCTGGACCCAAACATCAGCAAACAGAGTGAAGTGGAACCTGTCTTAGAAACTCACACATTCTTGGGAGATCATCAGTTGGTGACATTAAACTGGGTGGCAATATCTATTGCAATTAAAGATACACATCCAGTCCAGGTGTGGTGGTTCAAACCTGCAATCCCCGAACTTTGGGAGGCCAAGGTGGGCAGATCATCTGTCAGGAGTTCGAGGCCAGCCTGGCCAACATGGTGAAACCTCATCTCTACTAAAAATATACAAATTACCTGGGTGTGGTGGTGCATGCCTGTAATCCCAGCTACTTGGGAGGCTGAGACAGGGGAATTGCTTGAACCTGGGAGGTGAAGGTTGCAGTGAGCCGAGATCGCACCATCGCACTCCAGCCTCGGTAACAGAGCGAGACACTGTCTCAAAAAAAGTAAAAATAAAAAATACACATCTAGCCTGGGCAACACAGCAAGACCCCATCTCTACAAAAAATAAAAGATTAGCCAGGTGTAGTGGCACCCACCTGTAGTCCCAGCTATTCGGGAGACTGAAGTGGGAGGATGGCTTGACCCAGGAGTTGGAGACTGCAGTGAGCTATGATCACACCACTGCACTCCAGCTCATGCAACAGAGCAAGATACTGTCTCAAAAAAACAGAAACAAAACAAAACAAAAAGAAAAAAAGCTTAGTCTTTGATCCAGCAATTGCACCACACGGAATTGTTTTTATGTGAATATACTGCACATAAAGCAAGGACTGAGGCTGTAAAGAGCTCATTGAGCCATTGTTGGTGATAACAAATGACCCCATACACCACAGACATTCATTCATCCAATACGGAAATGATGTAATGAACATCATGGAAAGAATGCAGCATTCTTTGTGCTATGAAGCCACTTCCAAAATGTCTTATTAACTAGAAAAAAATTGTGTGCCTGTTTTTAAAAATTAGATATAAATATTCCTGGACATGAGCATACATATTTTCATAGGGACCCTGTCTCTACAAAAATAAAAATAATTAGCTGGGCATGCTGGTGCGTGCCTGTGGGCCCATTCACTTGGAAGGCTGAGGCAGGAGGATCATTTGAGCCTGGGAATCCGAGGCTGCAGTGAGCCGTGATAGTGCTACTGCACTCTTTCGGAAATAAAACATTTATTGAAGGAGGATACACAAGAGACAGTTAAAATAGTCACGACTTGTGGGGAGGTAGCCTTGCAGGTCAGTGATAAAAGCGAGATCTGATTATTTGTTTATGTATTTACTTTTGAGACAGGGTCTTACTCTGTCTGTCACCCTAGTGGGCTACAGTGGAACGACACTATCATGGCTCACTGCAGCCTCCAACTTTGAGTGATCCTCCCACCTCAGCCTCCTAAGTGGCTAGGACTACAGGCATGCACCAGCTTGCTTGGCTAATTTTTTATTTTTTATAGAGATGGGGTTTCTCCATGTTTCTCCGGGCTAGTCCTGAACTCTGAGACTCAAGGGATCCTCCCACCTCTGCCTTCCAAAGTGCTGAGATTACAGGTGTGAGCTACTGTGCCCAGCTGATTTTTATAACGTATCTTCTTGTGCTGTTTGAAAAATTTACCATGTGGTTGTATTATCTGCTTAATTTTTTAAAAACTACAAATAAAGAAATGCTCACCAAACAGTAGTTGCAGCGGGAAGGCAGCGATTTGGAGCATGTGTGGGTGGAGCACAGGCCCGGCGTGGTATTTCTAGGTGATCCTAATGGGATCACCTGACTCCTTCACCTAATTAAAGTGGGTGAGCACAGAGGTGTCTGCTTGTTCTCGGAATGCATCTGTCACCAGCCCCACTGCAGCAGGGGGGGCTGGCATGCTGAGCCTGGGGAACAGGGAACCCCCCTCCGCCCCCAAGCCTGGGCAGCAGGAGTTCAGACCACACGTTCCCAGATCAGCTCCCAGCTCACGAGGCTTTTTCCTACAACAGATGCAGGGCAGCGGAGGGTTCAGCCTCCAGCTTCCGGGCAGCCCACCTGCTGTAACTGCCTCCTCCCAGGTTCATGGAGTGGCTACTGTGCCTTGAAGCCCACCTGTGTCCAGTCTAATGTGATGGCTGTGAGTGTAAGCTCACAGGGCAGAGAGAGAGGTGCCTTGGAGACCTGCTTCAGGCCAGGCGCGGTGGCCCATGCCTGGAATCCCAGCACTTTGGGATGCCGAGATGGGCGGATTATCTGAGGTCAGGATTTCAAGACCAGCCTGGCCAACATGATGAAACCCAGTCTCTACTAAAAAAATATAAAAATTAGCCAGGTTTGGTGGTGTGCACCTATAATCCCAGCTACTCGGGAGCTGAGGCGGGAAAATCGCTTGAATCCAGGAGGTGGAGGTTGCAATGAGCTGAGATCGAGCCACTGCACTCCAGTCTAGATGACAGAGTGACACTCTGTCTNAAAAAAAAAAAAAAAAAAAAAGCCTGCTTCAACCACTGACTGTGCAGCCTTGAGAACTGTACCCACCTTTTCTGAGCCCTTGTTTCCTCATTGGTAAGATGGTGTTAATAATAACATCTAGCTCTCCAGGGGATATAAGAATTAAATGAGGTCATTTGTAGGGAGAGTCATTTGCTATTTGAGGTCATCAAATAGCAATTATTTGTTTCATTAACAAACCTTTATCAAGCACACTAGTAGGTGCCAAATCTCACGCCAGGAGCTGGAGATTTAAAAACTTATTTATTTATTTATTATTTATTGAGACAAAGTGTCGCTATGTTGTCCAGGCTAGAGTGCAATGGCATGATCTCGGCTCACTGCAGCCTCTGCCCTCCCCGGGTTCAAGTGATTCCCATGACTCAGCCTCTTGAGTAGCTGGCATTTTAGGTGGCTGCCACCACCTTCAGCTAATTTTTGTATTTTCTGTAGAGACAAAATGAGAGAAAACGTGGGGTTTCACCACGTTGGCCAGGCTGGATTTGAATTCTTGACCTCAAGGGATACACCTGCTTCAGCCTCCCAAAGTGCTGGAATTACAGGTGTGAGCCACTGTGCCCGGCCAAAAAAATTTTTTAAAGGGCTGGATGAGATGGCTTATGCCTGTAATCCTGGCACTTTGGGAGGAGAGGAGGGAGGACCCCTTGAGCCCAGGAGTTTGAGACTAGCCTGGGCAACATCATGAGACCCGTGTCTCTACAGTTTTTCTTTTTAATTAGCCAGGTGTGATGGCACCTGCCTGTGGTCCCAGCTACTCAGGAGTCTGAGGGAGGAGGCTCTCCTGAGCCCAGGAGTTCAAGGCTGCAGTAAGCTATGATCGCACCACCGCAGTCCAGCCTGGGTGACAGAGCAAGACTCTGTTTCCAAAAAAAAAGTGATGGTTTATGCTGTTAAGTAATTCACAGTCTAACAGCAAAAGGGTAATATATGATATTAATAGCTTTCTTTTAATTTTTACTTTAGGTTCTGGGGTACACGTGCAGGTCATGCAGGGTTGTTGCATAGGTGCATACATAACCAGGTGGTTTGCTGCCTCTATTTCCCCTTCATCTATATCCGGCATTTCTCCCCACGTTAGCCCCCCCACACTCCCCACCTCCGGCTGTCCCTCCCCTAGCCCCCCCGACAACTGCCCGCAGTGTGTGATACTCCATATTAATAGTTTTTAAAAAATGATCTCAGAAAAAACTCCCAGATTTATCTTATTTAATTCTTATTACAATCCTTTGAGGTAGCTTTTATTATTCCTATTTTATAGATGAGGAAATTAAGGTCCAGAAAAAAGTGGAGAGGTGGACTGGAAGGTAAAGGAAGTTAATTGGCTAACAAAGAAGAGAATTCTCTGGAGTTCTCTGATGACAGTTAACACACTCTTTCAAGGCTACTTTAAGCAATTTTTTTAAATGGAGGAAATCTGACATAGGGATCCAGCAGCCTCATGTAATGACTGTCATCAAAGTGCAGATATTGTAGCTAGCCCTTCCCCAGGAAAAATAGGAAGTAGGACAGAGCTACTATTTTTTGCATTTAAGCCAGTCCTGTCTTCCCTTCTCTCACCATTGCCTCCTTTTGTGGATCTGCCTCTTCCTTCATCATCCATCTGCCTTCAGAGCCCAGGACAGAAAATGACCATCCTTGACTCAGATATATATCATCTCCATGACTCAGATACATATCATCTCCATGGAGGAGACCAGCCCAGATAGCAACAGTTTACTGCAGCCTCAACCTACTTGGCTCAAGTGACCTTCCTGTCTCAGGCTCCAGAGAAGCTAGGACTGCAGGTGCTTGCCAAAATGTCCAACTAATTAAAAACATTTTAGATCAAGTCTCGCTATGTTGCCCAGACTGCTCTTGAACTTTTAGCCCCAAATGCCGCAGCCTCCCAAACTGCTTGGATTTCAGGTGTGAGCCACTGAGCCCAACCTGGAGTCTCTTCTTATAAGGACACAAATTCTATCAGATCATGACCCCACCCTTTTGACCTCAATTAACCTTAGTTACTTTCTTAGAGGCTCCATCTCCAAATATCGGGGTTAGGGCTTTAATGTATGAATTTGGTGGGGGAAAGTAGCAGTTCATCACAAGCAGTCAGGATGAGTAATAGCAGCTGCAGTAATAAAACATCCCACCATATCAATGATGCACATTATAGTTTCATGCAAGTGTGTGGCAGGCAGCCTTCTACATGATAGTTCGAGGGTTCAAGCTCTTTCTATCTGTCCTCCTCATCCCCCTGGGTCAACTCTACTCAGCTGGCAGACAGGGAAATCAAATAAAGCATTGTATGGGAAGTTTGCACGAGGCAGGCCTGGAAGAGGTGTCTGATACTTCGTCTCCTGTCCCATTTGCTAGAAATCCGTCGTGTGGCTGGATTGAACTGCAAGGGAGACTGTCTATCTGGGTATCTGGAATAAGGAAGTGGATTGAGTGAACTGCTAGCCAGTCTTTGCCACCACAGTGGAAAAGCGTTTGTAATGAAATAGACTTAGGAAAAGTTGTTTTTAAAACAGTTAGATGGGGATTGGGTGGCTCACACCTGTAATCCCAACCCTTTAGGAGGCCCAGACAGGAGGATCATTTGAGCCCAGGACTTTGAGACCAGCCTGGGCAACATGGCGAAACCCCATCTCTACAAGAGATACAAAGAAATAGCCAAGCGGGTAGCGCTTCACACCTGTAGTCCCAGCTACTTAGTTGGCTGAGGCAGGAGGACCCCTGAGCCCAGGATGTTGAGGCTTTGGTGAGCTATGATCACGTCACTGCACTCCTGCGTGGGCAACAGAGTGAGACTTTCTCAAAAACAAAAACAAACACAAACAGACAGAATAAATAAATAAATAAACAAATAAAACAAAAAAAGCTAGTCAAATGAATTTCCTTACTGTGGAACATCTTAGGGCCTTTAGTGAACGATTGTGCATTGTCAATTGCTAAGACAGCAGGGAGCGAATGGGGTTTCTCATCCTGACTTAAAAGACCAACCCTGTTTTGCTCAAAGAGCTTCTTGTGGCAAAAACATCAATGTCGGGCAACAGGTCCAAAACTGAATGAAGAGGGATGAGCTTGGAGGAGGAAAATGGCCAGGCGTTGCAATGTGGATTTCGTGGGATGAGCGAACAGAGCTCAGGAAGTCAACAGAGAAAAGGCAGCCTCACAGTGTAGCCCCGGCGCCCTGCCCTGACTGTGGAAGTCACCATCCTGACCCTCAGTGAGCTCGCCGAAAGAGGGATGGTGTGCACAGGCACTGAGAGGTCAGATAAGTTCGTTGCAGTTGAAGGCATTAAAGCAATTTCAAAACGACCTCGGTACGTCATCTCCTGTGGGTCAGAAGCTGCGCTTTTCTTGGCATCATCGTCAGCCTCAAGGTGGGGGACAAACACTGGCATTGTTGAGATATTTCCTGAGAGCTCCAGGGAGCCGCTCTGCATCAGCCTGGTCTGATGCGCTGGCCGGTGGGAAGTGCAGAAGCCTGGTTCAAATGCAGAAAACCTCTTTTCTGACCACCTGCATCCTTCCGAGCTGATGTGCGGTTTTACAGTGGGGTCCAGGTGATACAAGCTTAGGCAGGGCGGCCTGAACTGGGGCAGGAACGTGGATGCTGGAAACAACCAGAACTCTGCTCAAAACCTGGCTATGGCTTTGTTTCCTTACCTGTAAAGTGGGGACGATAGACCCCCATCCAAATGCAAATATGAAAGCAATTAACAATGGTGATGATTAATTGAACACTTACTGTACACAAGGCACTGTGAGCTGTTTTATATACACCACCTCTCATCCCTTCAGCAGTGGCTCTTAACCCAGGGGGAATTTGTCCCCCAGTGGACACTGGGCAATGTGATTTTGGTTGTCAATGTTTGGAAGTATTTTTGGTTGTCACAACTGGGGGAGGGGTCGTGCTACTGGCATCCAGTGAATAGAGGCCAGGGATACTGCTAACATCCTGCAGCACACGGGACAGCCCCCACAGCAGGCAATGATCCAGCCCCCAAGTGCTGACACTGCTGAGGTTAAGAAATATGATTTCCAGGCACCCTTCAGGTGGGTATAATTTGCTTCACCCTTTCTGAATTTTACAGATGAGGCAACTGAGGCTCAGAGACATTATCTAATTTGGAGAAGCCTAGACCGGAACCCACCGCGATAGCCACTGTTGACAATGCCTCAGTGAGCATGTGCGTGCGCCTGTGTTTGTGTATGTGCGTGTGTGCGTGCCATCCCCCTCCTCTCACCATTCTTCTTTACGGACCTTGAGCAAACTCCTCTTCTCATGGGCTGTCCCAGTCCATGCTAATC